GGTGGTTCGGGGTGGATTATTCCATCCTGAACAATGTGAGGAAGCTTCTGAAGGCAAATGTGGCTGTATTCAGGGAGGGCAGACCAAGGGGGGATGGATAACCTGGTCCTTGCTGAGTGTGGGGGCTCCTTTCTGCTGGGGGGAGGACACAGGTTGTAGACACCATTGCAGGAATGATGGGGATCAAAAAGAATCACAGAATCATAGAACAGTTTGGGTTGGAAAGGACCTTAACGTCATACAGTTCCACCCCCCTTGCCATCGGCAGGGACACCTCACATTAAACCATGGCACCCAAGGCTTCATCCAACCTGGCCTTGAACAGGGATGGAGCATTCACAACCTCCCTGGGCAACCTCACAGTAAAGAACTTCTTCCTTAGATCCAATCTAAACCTCTCCTGTTTCAGTTTTAACCCGTTACCCCTTGTCCTGTCACTACAGACGGGGGTAAAGAGCTGCCCACGGGCTCATTGCTGCTCACCTGAGTGATCCCCAATTGCCTGGTGTCTCACAATCCCTGTGTTTCCTTGTTCTCAGTCTTCTTGACCATTTCTTTGCTGCCTGCCATGGGACATTCTTTCTTGCCCTTCTTGTGAGTGCAAGCAAGTTCTCTGTTCAGTAGAAGGAGGCTTGTCCCCCGGCCCACCCCAGAACTACACTTCACACACCATCCAGGTCCCATTTCTCAACGTATTCCTACTATCCTAACCCATGCCAAGGAAACAACCCCATAAAACATCATCCTAAAGGTCTCCTTCTCTGGGGGTATCTCAACTATGTATCCGAGTTACCTGAGAAAGTATCTACAACCCTCTTTGGGTTCCTGTTCCTCATGAGCATGATGGACAACCAGGCAGGATGCAACTCAAGCTCTGCTGGTAGGACAGACAGGAACCCATGGAGAGGCTAAACCTCCTCTATAGGGAGGTCTCTGTTTCTCTCCACTGAGTACAGAAGGACCTGGGCTCAAAGGCTTAGAGACCTAAGGTCTACATAGCTGAAGGGAACCAAATATTCCCAGATGTGGCAAATTGCTGCAAGATTTCCTGCTTGGGTTTTTTCCTTCTTATTTTTCATTTGGAAAATCAAACCGAGCTGAAATTAAATCCTTCCAGGGCAATATGTGCATTCCACCACGTTTTTGCAAAGAGAAGTATTCTGTTTGGAGAGCAACACATCATTCCTGAGGGTTGTTTCCACACAGCGTCCAATTGGAGCTCCAAGGATGGTGCTGGAGATGTACAAGGAGCAATACAGCTCCCCCCCGAATTCCATGTCCTGCAGTGATTTGGTGCTTCCCCTCACTTGGGTGTCCCTTTGGGAATCAACTCAATGGTGGAGCTGCTGCCTGCACGAGTGGCTGGGGACAAGAATTCCCCATCCCTGGCAGTGTTCAAGGCCAGGCTGGACACAGGGGCTTGGAGCAAGCTGCTCTAGTGGAATAGGTCCCTGCCCATGGCAGGGGTTGGAGCTGGATGAGCTTTGAGGTCCCTTCATCCCAAACCAGTCTGGGATTCGAAGTGCAGACCCACAGGCAGCAATGCTGCAGGATTTACATCCCTGGCTGAGCAGGGAGGATGTTCCCAGCCTCTGGCAGGCCAAGCTACTATTAAATGTGTGGGGTTTTTAATGCTAGGAAGCTCTTTTCACTTGTGTTATATCCCTCAGGGGAGGAAAACTTGTTTCATACTACGCATTAATGGGAAGAAATCACAGAACCATGGAATGCTTTGGGTTGGAAAGGACCTTAAAGATCATCCCGTTCCAACCCCTGCCACGGGCAATGCACCTGAAGACCCTACCAGAAGCCAATAAACCCAAGTAAAAGCCAACAGATCCCTCACAGAGTCATCTGCAGGAAACTGCTTGATTCTGTAACCTTGCAAAGTAAAACTGCATTGAAACTGTGATGGGGAGAAGACAGCACCAAAAGGTTCCGGCAATGACGCCCTCATTCCTGCTTGACCAGCTTGGAAAGCTCCAGAGCCTGGGATCCATGGATTTTTATGACAAGTGGGAGACTGAAAACTTGGCAATGGAGAGAAGAAAGGGATTAGGGAGATGGACACAAGGTCCAGCTTTGTGCTCCTTATGCAAGTGGCTATTTCACTCCAGTGACTACTGAACACTCAGCTGAAAGAGGCTTTATTCAGGAGGCTGCAAATCCCACAGCTCTCCGGAGGTGAAGCCTTCACAATAAACATCTCAACCAACTAAAGAGCCACAAGGTCAAAGCGAAGGGGGAGATATTATCTTTCAGCTCAAGTGCGTGCTTGGAAATGGGTGAGAAAGAGATTTTTGGAGGCCTTTTTCATGAGAAACATGTAAAAAGTCATGATTTACAATCACAGAGGGGTTTGGGTTGAAGGGACTTTAAAGCTCATCCAGTTCCAGGGACCCCTTCCACTAGAGCAGCTTGCTCCAAGCCCCTGTGTCCAACCTTGCCTTGAACACTGCCAGGGATAGGGCAGCCACAGCTTCTCTGGGCAACAAAACCTCAATAGGAGAGTTCCTTTCCTTCTACTCCTTTTCACTTCCTTCACTCTGGACAAGAAATACCTTTTGAAACTGCTACTTAGCCCTTGGGTTTCTCCCACCCTTTGCCATGCCAAGAGCTTCCACAGGATCATAGAAACACGGAATGCTTTGGGTTGGAAAGGACCTTAAGATCATCCAGTTCCAACCCCCTGCCATGGGCAGGGACACCTCACACTAAACCATGGCACCCAAGGCTCTGTCCAAGCTGGCCTTGAACACTGCCAGGGATGGAGCATTCACAACCTCCCTGGGCAACCCATTCCAGTGCCTCAGCACCCTCACAGTAAAGAACTTCTTCCTTAGATCCAATCTAAACTTCCCCTGTTTCAGTTTGAAGCTGTTACCCCTTGTCCTGTCACTCCAGTCCCTGATGAAGAGTCCCTCCGCAGCATCCCTTCAGATACTGGAAGGCTGCTCTGAGGTCCCCCAGGGAATTTGGCTGAAAGCAGAGAAGCTAAAGCAGGCTTCAAAAACTCCAAGTAACTTGGTCCTTCTGAAGGGCTGGTTTCAGCAAAGTGCTTAAATGTGGCTTTGACTTCAGGGATTTCTGAGTGGAGGCCTACCAGAAGTCTTCAGTTCCAAAAAGGAAAAGACTTCTGTAAAGGTTTCCAAATTCGGGCTCAAAAGCATAGAAAAGCAATGGATTGTTTTAGCAGAGGAACTCAAATGTTCCTTACTAAGCACAGAACATGGGTCCATGCTGTGCTGAAGACGACTCCTTTTGGAAAGGTGGGAATTACTCCATGAATCCTGCTTTGGAGTAACTGCTCGGACTTCAAAACAGTGGGAGGTTCAGCTCTCCTGGAATAAGAAGCGTCCTTGAAGTTATCTGACAGCAGCCCCTGTGGTTCATTTAGATTCTGTCCTAATCTCCTACCATTGGCAGGCCTTGGCTATAAGCATTTCCCCTGTCTCTCCACCTCACGCAAAGAAGTGTTCGACCCCAAAGTGATGCACAGGGCATGACTGGGTTTGCCACCCAGATGCTTTGATGGCTTTTGCCTCTCCAGCCAGGCAGGAAGGTTGTGGATGTGTGAGTGTCCTTCCCCATCCAGACCTTTCTTTGCATCCATAGAGCAACCAGAGCCATGGGCTCAGTACATGTCTGGCCAAGACAGAACAGCAGAAACCAGCCAGAAGGGAGGTGTGGAGAAAAGGTGCTCAGCAGGGAAGGGGAGGAGCTTGGCAGTTCTTGTTATGGCCTTTTGTTAATAAAACCCATGGCTAATAGAGGAATTCAAGTGAAAAATGGCTTTGTGGGTGACAGGAGAAGCCTCCTTCCAAGGAGAGGAAGCAAAGGAACAAGGGAGACACTTGTTTGGGAAGAGGTGAAAAGGACAGACATTGTTGGCTGAGCCAAAAGAGCTGTAAGGCTCCAGACACCAAGAATGAATGGACTGGACATTGCTTCTCTAAGCAAGGAGACGTAGCCTGTGCTAGATACGAGCAAGAGGGAGCAAAGAGGGGGATGTGAGGCACCCCAGCACATGGCAGGGGGTTGGAACTGGGAGATCTTAAGGTCCTTTCCAACCCAAACCATTCCATGATTCTATTTTATGACACGGTTAAAGCAGTGGACTGGGGAGATCAGTTTTGTAGCAGCTCTCCAGAAGGATGGAGGAGAATTTGCCAAGGCTGGAGATGGCAGAGAGCAGAGTGCCAGGGTAGGGCTGAGCTATAGAGGATGAACATCAGGCTGGCTGGTAGGGTGGTTCATGGAAAGCTGAAAGAGGCAGATGACAAATAACTCCCAATGGACACACTGCAACAGAGACAGGAAACAAGTGTCCAAGCTTGGAATGCCAAAGGAAAACAAGATCTTATGGAGAAGAGTGCAGCTGGGGCTGTCAGAGACAACCAGCACAGCAAGGCTAAGGCAGAAGGGTAACCAAGTCTGGCCAGGAAGAGCTTGCTGCCTCTTTGGAAGAGCCATTTTGGGGTGGTGTGAAGGGTGGGAGCTGCACAGAAGATGACCCTAGCACAGACTAGGGTCTGTCAGGATAAGACAGGACAGTAAAGACACAGCATGGGAGATCCAGACACCAAACAGGACAGGGTTGCTACCATTTCTGCACCTATGACATGGAAGGAGGAGGGAAGGATGAGCAGAGGGAAGGTGAAGGCAATCCTGGGGAGACACCAGGCAGTATTCAGAAGATACTAAAAGCCGTCAGTGTGCAGGTATCACAGTGGCGAGGATTGTAAAATCCCTGGGATTAGCATCAGGATACAATTCCTGGCTCAAAAATACTTTGCAACACAGACAAATATTCCCAGCGCAGGGCATGAAGTTAATGACCGAGTTAGGAAGGGAAGAGCTCAACACAAGCCCCTTCCCTGGGAAGTACTTGCTGTCAAACACATGGAGCTGCTGGATTTTGACCAATGAGCAGCAAAAGGGGAATCCTCCTGGAGCCTTCAACAACATCCCCAGTCTTGTCTTCATACATAGATCCTTACCTGGGGCGTAGCCGGGGCTGCTGGTTGGATACATGTTTGGGTTGTAGGCTGGAGCAGCGGTGGGATAGCCCGTCGGATAACCTGCCATGAGAAAGAAGGAGAAATTATGGTCTCATAACACTGAGAGAAGAGGACAGCATCCTTGGGGAGCAGCACCCAACCTGTGCGTGCAACGAGGCCACGGGCACAGCTGAGAGCCAAAGCCCAGATGTATTCTCAGGCTACAGGAAGGACTCTGAATGCACTCCGTTGGCTTACAAGTGACCCCATCAATATTTCACCCCTATTCCTCTACAAAAGGAGGGCAACAACCAGAATGCAGAACACAGGAATGCTCCATGCGCTCTGCAGGAAACCAGGGAGGAAATCCACACACTGAATGCAGAATGGAGCTCTGGGATAGCCACCAGCACAGCTCTGCTTGAAAGGCTCCCCTTGGCTGCTCGCAGCCATCGCAGTTTGACCACTGGAGCATTCGCAGAGCTCAGCAGCCTCAAGTCCTCCGCGCGCAGCACTTGCATTAACCAGAGCCTCTTGCTAAAGGGAAGGTGAAGAGGCTGCATGAGAAGCTGCCAGCCCCAATATTCACCCATGGCTGCACAAGTGCCAGCCTGGGAGGGACACGATTACCTGCCAGGCCACCTGGAAGGAACACACGCGACAGCTCCTACCCTTTGAAGCCACAGGAGGCTTTAATGGGCACTTTAGGAAAGGTTGCAGAGCACCTTCAGTTCTCATCATCCTCACTCGCATCGGTCATAGGGAGGTCAGGGGAAAACATCAAAGCACTCAGACACATGGAGGCTTGGAAACCACTGCAGAGCCAAGGCCCTACGTGCACCTATGCACAGTGCAGATGTCCTGCACTGCACTAGAAGCTCTTGTCCTCCATGATAGCAGGGGGATGGAACCGGATGATCTTAAGGCCCTTTTGAACCCAAACCATTCTATGATTCTAAGACCCCAGACAACAACCTCCACACCTCAATCTGCTCCGGTCTGCTTTTGTTTACTGCTTCACTTCCATTTCTTGGAAGTCTTCCCCACTGGAAATGGCAACACTCGGATAACCCCATCCCTTCTTACGTGCTCCTGCGTAACTCCCTCTGACACACCGAATGGAACACGTTCGTCTTCCTCTGCTGGCAGAGCCTGCCTCTGCTATGCTTCCCCGCCACGGCCACTGCCCTGCTTTATCTGTGCATCTCGTTGGCCACCAGCCCAGAGCACAACCAACCCCATGGCAGACAAAACGACCCTTGGAGAGTCTTTCCACGCCAAGCTCCACTGACGCTGCCTGCTGGTTGCCAGCAAAGGCTGCAAAGCGGCAATTAGCGCCCATTCACACCCATCGCCTTGATTTTGCTCTATGAAACACAAGCAGGGGTGGGTCTTTCCTCCCCCGTTCCGAGCAGGAAGATGAAACCCGGCTCCATCCCTCCCTCCCATGGCCCAAAGCTCATTTGCTCCTTAGCAAGGTGCAGATTCCTCAAACCTGGCACCCGGCACGGAGCCGATTCCTGCGGCAAAGTGGGGAGGTTCATCGGAATAAATCTAATGCACCACTCCTGACCACTGGGCTGGAATAAATGACTGTGTTCTACCCTCTCATTTTCATCACTGATATATTTGGCTTCTAAATCAGGTTAATTAAAAATTGCCGGAGTTAATGTTGGATAAGCAGCAGTTTAACAGACTTTGGGTTTGGCTTTTTTAGGCTACATAAAACCATGCTGGCATCGGAGGCAGGCACATACAGAGCAATCAAGAAGCTCCGTGCACAGTTATTTGCAGATCCTGTGATTGCAAGCAGAACATTAATGAGGAAGATCTTAAATCAGAAACATCCCTGCCTCCTCGCTGCTTCATCAGAACATAACCCTTTCTTTTCCAGTATATCCAATGCTCCGAGGTCCTCTGGTTGCCTCTCAAGCTCAATGATCTCCTGACCAGCCTGGCTGGGGGCGTTAAACCAACTCCAACTCCCTTCTTGACCAAAAAAGTGGCCAATTATATTCCCTGTAATTCTCTCAACTGTGTTTCTACACCAGGTTTTACCTCCTCAGGGGCTGATAGCCTTGCGTGCATGCCATGGTGTTGGCAAGTCCCTTGCTCATCATCTAGGGATAGGATCTAGATGAGAACCTCCTGGGGCATCAAGAGGTTCTTCTGGTCTTTCCTGCTCATTAATCCCCTCAAAGAATTCCTGAATCCCATAAACGACTGCAGTAGTTATAGAATCTTAGAATGGTCTGGGTTGGAAAGGACCTTAAAATCATCCAGTTCCAACTCCCTGCCATGGGGTTGTAACTCTGTGTAGAGTTGCCCCTCTACTGTGCTCTTGTGAGACCCCACTTGCAGCACTGTGTGCAGTTCTGGGGTCCTCAACGTAAGAAGGACATGGAGCTGTTGGAGCAAGTCCAGAGGAGGCCACGAGGATGCTCAGGGGTTGGAGCAGCTCCTGTATGGAGCCAGGCTGAGAACATTGGGGCTGTTGAGCCTGGAGAAGAGAAGCTGCGTGGAGACCTCAGAGCAGCTTCCAGTGTGTGAAGGGGGCTACAAGGATGCTGGGGAGGGACTCTTCATCAGGGACTGCAGTGATAGGACAAGGGGTGATGGGTTCAAACTGAAACAGGGGAAGTTCAGGTTGGATGTAAGGAAGAAGTTCTTTCCTGTGAGGGTGCTGAGGCACTGGAATGGGTTGCCCAGGGAAGTTGTGAATGCTCCATCCCTGGCAGTGTTCAAGGCCAGGTTGGACACAGGGGCTTGGAGCAAGCTGCTCCAGTGGAAGGGGTCCCTGCCCGTGGCAGGGGTTGGAGCTGGAGGAGCTTTAAGGTCCCTTTCAACCCAAACCATTCCATGATTCTGTGATTTCAGGCAGAGGGTATCTGTGTACTTAGCTCTTCTTTCTCTTTGTTTTGGGTTTAACTTCTGCTTGGTAGGAGTGTGTCTTGCTTATTGTGGCATCTTTTGCTGTTCTGAAAGCAAGGGATGGCCTGTTTCAGGATCATTTCATTCCAGATAAATGCCACTTATACCAAGGAAGCTTTAATAGCTTCGGACGTGGAAAGATGCAGCCAGCCCTGCTCTGCTCTATCTTCCTCTCTGATCTCATAACCTTTGGGAAGCGCTGATCTCCAGCAAGAAAACTTGTCCTTTCTATTTTAAGGGGAAACGGAGCTGGGAAAAGAGCAGGGAAATTACTGGTGGTTTGCTGCTTTGGGGAGACAATGAAAGATAAGAGAGAAGCAGAACCTGTGACAATATGTGCCAGGTGAAACAGGCTTGAGAATACCCAGCACTCAAACCCCTGGGTTTAAAACCTCAACACTGGGTTTAGAAATACAAGAGGTATTTCTACACCTTACAGGTTTTTCAATAGGATTTAGGCTTGTTGGCTCTTCTTCATCCCCCAAATGACTACAAGCAAGCTGCAATCCACCCATGATGGTCCCCATATCTTATATCCCCTGGTGCATAAGACAAAGCCTGGGTCCACTGCCCAGGGATGAGCCAGGAGAGTGGCAGCACCAAAGTATCTGGCATCTTGCTCTGATTTTCCCCATGGAAAACCTATGGGACCTCCTGCAAATCCCTGTTGCTCCTGCTGACCCCATTCCCCTCCTGCCATGTCTATGTTGCCTCTTGGGTGAACTTGATGATCTTAAAGGTCTTTTCCAGCCTAGCTGATTCTATGGTTCTCTTCACCTTGCATCAGAGAGAACAGCAAGCAGGTAAAACCCACTCGTTTCATGTTGAGAGCTGCTAATCTTCATGGGCTTCCTGCTGGAGACATGGGGAAGTCAGGGACACAAAGAAGAGATCCTTTCTTTTCTACCTATATGGATCTGCACATGATGGGACCGCGCCCCTGCTGAGGCTTGGGGCCCGATTACAGCGCTGATGCAGATGGAAAGCAAATGAGATGAAACCCTGTTGAATAAAAGCCATTAGATTTCCTCACCGAAGAACTCGGGAGCTGGTTTCTTGCTTGAGTTTAATTTAATCTCGTGCCCACAATCAATAGGAGCAGCAAAGCCAGTGTTCATTTTGTGCTCTCCCCAAGGGATACCCAGAGCACTCCCGCTCCGAGCGGCACTAACTGAACTGCTTCAGGAATTACGGCTCAATAACGAAGGGAAGAGCTCCCGGGGCTGCAGCAAGCAGGGATTTTAAAGCCTCCTTTAACTGTCCATGTATCTCTAAACGCTTCTAGCCCATTCCTTGCAGCTCTGCTCAGCCCTGTCCTCTTTGGTGCAATGCTGCTGCAGATTAATGGCTTTTAGGTTACGAGTCCCAGCTACCACGCACAGCTTTAGGGATGCACTAGGAAAGGAGTCCATGAAATACATTCAACATGAGCAGCATACACAGCCTTAAAATGGGTTTAAGCACCTGCTTTGTTTCCTTCCTAATCAGACTCAGAACACCCATAATAAAGCAGCTAGCTTCTATTTCCAGCCACATGTATTTTAGTGCCTACATGCAACACAGCGGCATGTGGAACCGTAGACACAAGCTCAGTACAGACCTCTGCTGCACAAGAGATGGGTGGATGGGGCATTTAAGAATGTTCTTTCCAGCCTTCTGGGATAGCTTATTCCTTATGGAATACAGAATTCCTTATGGAATAAGCTCCTGTGGTCGCTCTGTACAGCAAAGAAGCTGAATTACTAGGGAGGAACGAGAAGGCAGGAGGGAAAAGCAGACATCAGCAGGCAAAGGGCTGCCCTTGGAGGAAAGGCTGAGAGCAGGGCAGGGAGGAAGGCAGCTAGGAGGACTAAGGCTTCCTTAGAATTAAACCTGGCAAGAAGGGTCAAGGACAGCAAAAAGAGCTTTTTCAAGTACATGGCAGACAAAACTAACACCAGAGGCAATGTAGGCCCACTGATGAACGGGATGGGTGCCCTGGTGACAGAAGATGCAGAGATGGCAGAGTTACTGAATGCCTTCTTTGTCTCTGTCTACTCTGCTGCAGGCAGTCCTGAAGAGCCCTATACCCCTGAGACCTTAGATGAAGTCAGGTCGACGGAGCGACTTGCCTTAGTCGATGAGGAATGGGTTAGAGATCAGTTGAGCAA